GGCAAGAGGGTTAGAGGTCGCGAAGCAGTGCCAGCTTCATTAAATGAAATTCGTTTGGTCCTTAAAGAAGAATGGGAAAACATAACGCAATATGATATATGCAGCCTCAATGACAGTATCACAGATTATACAGATTATAAACTTTGTTTTTTCTTTATTGTTTTTCGTGGTTCCAATTTTCGGAATCGGGCACTAGGTAGGTTACTAGTTTGCGCACATAGCACGCCCACTTAAGGCGTCTAAAATTGTGCATAGCGCCTGACCATGCGCCTGATCGGCACAGCTATTAGAGGGATATCGGAAAACCGAATAGCGTCATGCAGTATTTACGCGTACCTTATCATGGTTACGATATGCGCGAATTGCGCGAGTCAATTTTTAACGTAACACCCGCTAATAACGTTACCGCCTGACGTAATTTGTCGATCAATTACACCAAGCGCTATTTCTAAATAACGTTTAAAAATTGCTTAAATGGGCATGTGGGTGTATATTTTTATAACAACCGGGGCCGGCCGGCGAGATCTTTTATTTTAGGTTATGTGTGAATTGTTTTGAATTATTACTTTAGTTTTATTAGGTAATTTGATATTTAAGTAGCTGGGATTAGTTTTAATTAAATAAATATGGCCCAAAATATGGATTCCACCTCTTCCAATATTAAAGAACCTATAAAGAGGCTTAGGTTTACAGCAGTTGACGACTTAGCCCTTCTAAGAGAATTTGTTGCTTGTTGCCCTAAACCCACTGGCAGACGTTGAACAATAAAGCACTGGAATAGTTTTAAAATACCTAGTAAACAAAACAATTTCAAAGTTTTAAATTCAAAGTTAGGTTAAGTTTAAATAACGGACGCGACGCGAACAGAATTCTTTCCGATCCGATAACTATAAATGAAGAGAGTTAATACCACCTCACGTAAAGGAAATAACACATGGCCGTATTAACGTCCATGCACGCTATTCGGTTTAGCGATATCTCTCTATTACGCTGTTTATTGTTATTTTACGGGAGTTTATTTTTGCGCACAGGAAATTTTACTCGTTTGCACATCGTCATAAAAAACAGTTTTCGTACCACGAATTTAGGGATAAGATTTTTATCTGTATACATATAGTATACCTATTCTGTGACAGTATCAACGGACGTATACAGGCAGTTATAGCAGCCAAAAGCAGCAAGACAAAGTATTAGGGTATTTTTTACATTTTTTTTCCTGTTTGTATACTGGACTATTACAGATGTTCTCGTTAATATCGTTAGTTCTGTTATCGTTATTAATGTTTATTAAAACCCGGACTGTATCGTTAGTCTTTAACGTTTTTATAATTTAGTATAGATTATTATCCAATGCATTGTTATATGACGTTACGACAATAGTCACCAAAACCATCTCGTCATATTAAAAAATTACATCAAAAAGTAATGATTTATTAAAAAAATTGCAAGTTAAAGTGTATATTTTTCTTGATTTTAATCAGTAGCCTATGACCTTAAACGTCAAATGATGTAAAACCATATTATATCTAGTCATCATATTGTGACACTTTGTTAAAAAAATCAGTATGTCGTCGATCGCCATTTCCAAGCAAACATTGCGCCTTTTTTTCGATCATTCGGTATATTATTAATAAACTATTTTGATATCACTAAAGAGAGAAAAAATACGAAATATATTTTTTTTAAATTCACTTTTTAAACTTTTAAGCAGCAGGATTTATAATATACGAAATTAGTAATACATATACATACTGCCATTACTCGCTGACGAGTATTCGACACGCATCAAAAGATGGTCACGCAAGGCGTTTTCTTTCATGAGCTTTTCTGTGACTGAAAAGCCCGATACGTGATGTTATTTGCCTACCGCACTCCGGACATTCAAATATCTCATTACTTTGTTGCCTCTTTACTTTTTGGTTGTCGCTGTTAACTGAGTTTACGTTTCTTCACCAAAGAGTTCTATTGTGAACTGCTTCTTCCCAACGATTCTGCATGTTAATCCCCTTGTTTTCGTGGAAAATGTTCTTGTACCTTTTGAGTTGTCCACCCGGCCACCTCTTACTGTCTACACGCCCACCGTAAAGCAGAGATTTTGGTATACGGTTTTCTTGCATTCTGCATACGTGACCAGCCCATCTTAGGCGGGATTTTGTAACCATGACTTCAATACTCTGGCAGTTAGTTTTTTCAAGGACCGATACGTTTGAGACATGATGGAACCATCGGATTCTTAAGAGTTGTCTAAGGTGTCTATATTGCAACTTGTTTATTGCGTTCATGTGTCGACGGTACGGCATCGGCACCCAGGTTTCGCTTCTTACATTGCAAGTTGAGAAGCTGAATAAATTAGACAAAGAAAACAAAGTCCTCCTACACTGGGTGCCTGCTCACCAAGGGATAGAAGGCAATGAAAAAGCAAATAATCTAGCTAGGAAAGGAGCGAACACTCCACTAACTGGACCAGAACCGTTCTGCTTTCCAAGTGGTAACCAACTCAAGGCGGAACTCAAGAACTTGGAAGATTCCATCCGCAACCTGGAATGGAAATCTTGCAATGGTCTAAGACACTCGAAGAAGTTTCTGAGGGTTTATGATCAAGAAAAATCACAGATCTTCCTGGGTCTGAGTAAGAACAATCTTCGGATTGTCACGGGGTTTTTAACAGGACACTGCCTCCTCAATGAACACCTCAGTAGATTGAAACTAAGAAGAAACGGCGAATGCAGATTCTGTGGGGAAGATGGTGAAACACCAGTACACCTCATCACTGAGTGCCGAGACGACAACCATTCGTGCCATGAATTTTGGTACGACTGATATTGGAGATGGAGAACTACCCTCTATAAAACCGTCCCAGATACTGGCTTTTGTCAAAGCCCTGGGACTGTATGATGAGTTATGATTCAAGAAAGGGGGACACAATGGATCTGTAAGGTCGAAGTGATTAACCCCCCTCCCACTCATTCTAAATTCTAAAAAAAATTACACTGCAAGTTTTTTAATTTCCAGAATGCTCTTGAGGCGCTGCTAATCCTGTGCTGAAATTCAGAGCCGATATTGGCCTTTTCCGAAATCAAACTGCCGAGGTAATTAAATTCCGCTACATATTCCAATAGTTCTTTTCCGATTTTTATAGCATTGTTATGATCTTCCGGGGGAGCGCACATGATTTTGGTTTTGTTGATGTTTAGCTTAAGGCCCAAAGTCTCGTATGCCCAGGTATATGTGTTCAACATTTCTTGCAATTGTTGTAACGTGTTTGCAACTAGAGCGCAGTCATCGGCATATTGAAGTTCTTTGATGAATTTTGTACGTGTTTTTGCCCTGACTCTTATGTTGAACAGACCGCCGTCATATCTGTATCTAATAATAGTTAGTTTTGTGACAGATGGAAATAAACTGTCTGATTGTTTGACGCTTAATGTCAAAGGAAGTAACTTTAAAAGTACATCAAAATTTTATGGTGTATGTTTTTCGTGCCGGTGAGCGGTATTTATAATAATAATACGACCTAGCTTGGATATGGATTTTTTTTATATGCATACATTTATAGATACATATCTAAATAACATACATTTTACATGTGTACCTATACCGAATTTATTGGTATCCCTAGTTCGATACAAACATGCATATAAATTGAAAAAAGCCTTTTGCGTATATGAAAATATTGGAATAATAAACTTTATTTTTCAATGTGAAGTCATGCGCGCGTGGCGTTCATAACAATGTAGATCTTCCTACAAATAATATAAATAACTCTAGTTTTTTTAGAACTCTATTAGCTCGAATATCAAAGGTGGGGCTTCAAGCTATGTGAAGTCAACAATAAATGTTCCAGCGGCGTATCGTGGCGTCAATACTAGGGGCCGTAATACGTAACTGCAACTAACATTTCACCAACACAATAAAGTTTTAAAAAATACTTATGTTTTCTGTGTTTGCAGCAAAAATACGTTGTAGTTTTATGTCTACGAGAAATTGGAACACTCTGTATAAGGTATAAGTGTTGTTTTAAACATATCAACCAGTTGTTAACCAACCAAAAATTACCTCTAAATTCGTTTTTTTTTGTAGCATCATTAATTGAAATAAAAGGGCCACTATGACGCGAAAATTCCATATGTGGGTGCTTAATTATTCAATATTATGGCCACAAAAAAATGGTAGTAATTGAAAAAAAAATAAAATCAAAGCCGCTAGATGACGAGGGTAAATTTCAATTTTAATTTAACTTTGATGTTCGTATGGACATTTAAAATTGGTTTTAGAGACCTTGACCAAATAAAAAGAAATATTTATTTTATACAGGGTGTTTTAAAAACACGTGCCATCTCTCGTGGGGAGATTCCTAAAAAAGTCTCAGTGGAATATTTTTCAAAAAAAAGATATATGCGCCACTGTCTTTTTTTCTTTTGATGGCAAAATTATATAGACCGTTAAATAGGCTGATTAAAAGTTGTCTCTTTATTTTTTTGTCGATATCGGTCTCCTTGATGAGTTAAAGGCAATTTATTTCACTTGTTCTTAATCCAATAGCAACCTTTAATAGATATTTACGATACAAGTGAGTGAAAGTTGTGAGCTTCTGAGTTAAGAGCTTCTGAACTCACTGACGTAGATAATAAAAAAATAATGTTATGAACTTGCCAAAATGTAAAAGAAGTACTCGTTGATTCCCTATCAAAAAAAAATATTAAAAAAATTCTTATAAACATGCGTGCGGAAATACAAAGTTTTAACGTTACAGGGTGTTAAAACTTTTAAAAAACACAAAATATATTTATTTGTATACACACAGAAAACACTTGTTTTCTGTATAGCTTTTTCAATAACTTCGTTTATCAAACTTTAACACTATTTCATTAAAAGTGAGACTAGAGAGTAAAAATTCCTCAAATTTTCCTTGTCATGCGTCAAATCCAAAAATTCCTAGACACCCTAACCCCTGACAAATTCCAAACGTCTAATAATACCCTCCTCTTTCTTTGTTTCAGTGTGACCAACTATTTCCTAGTGAATTTGTCGGTGGCTGACCTGCTGGTAGCTGTAATTTGTATGCCCACAGCGGCATGGAGGGCATATACCGATGATTTCAGATTTGGAGAGTTTACCTGCAAGATCTCTGTTTATTTGCAATGTAAGTACTTATTAGGTAAAATAAAATATATCTTATATAAACAAAGTTAACAAAAAAAAAACGTTTTTGTACCTTATTTTTAAAAATTCTTCAGTTCGAAGAAAAGTTGACCAATAAAAAGCATTGAATATATTATATTTATTCCAAACTTTAGTATTTGACATACAGGGTTACAGTATACAGTGTTAATCAAAGAGTTGTATTTTACCTTATCTTTAAAACACCCTGGTGCGATAATTTCGTGAAAATTTTTTTCTAAAACATTATTTTTCGGTCAAAACCATGTCTCCTTTATCCAATATTTTGTTTTTTTGACAACACATGCCGTGGTTAATTTTTAAGAGCATAATTTTGTCACAAATTAACAAGATTACAACTAAACAAATCTTGACGCATATAAGATCGCAGATTAGGTATACTATATGTATACAGATAAAAATCTTATCCCTAATTCGTTGTACGAAAATTGTTTCTTATGACGATGAGCAAACGAGTAAAATTTCCTGTGCGCAAAAATAAACTCGCGTAAAATAACAATAAACAGCGTAATAGAGAGATATCGGTAAACTGAATAGCGGGCATGGACGTTAATAAGGCCAAGTGTTATTTCCTTTACGTGAGGTGGTATTAACTCTCTTCATTTATAGTTATCGGATCGGAAAGAATTCTGTTCGCGTCGCGTCCGCTATTTAAACTTAACCTAACTTTGAATTTAAAATTTTGAAATTATTTTGTTTACTAGGTGTTTTAAAACTAAAGGGCTACAGTGCTTATTTCCAGTGCTTTATTGTTCAACGTCTGCCACTGGGTTTAGGACAACAAATTCACTTTTGGCCAAGTTGTCATCTGCTGTAAACCTAAGCCTGTTTATAGGTTCTTTATATTTATTTAATTAAAACTAATCCCAGCTACTTAAATATCAAATTACCTAATAAAACTAAAGTAATAATTCAAAACAATTCAAACATAACCTAAAATAAAAGATCTCGCCGCTCGCCGGCCGGCCCCGGTTGTCAAATACCCGCAATGTCCATTTAAGCAATTTTTAAACGTTATTTAGAAATAGCGCTTGGTGTAATTGATCCGCAAATTACGTCAGGCGGTAACGTTATTAGCGGGCGTTGCGTTAAAAATTGACTCGCACATATCGTAACCATGATAAGGTACGCGTAAATACTGCATGACGCTATTCGGTTTTCCGATATCTCTCTAATAACTGTGCCGGTCAGGCGCTGTGCGCAGTTTTAGAGGCCATAAGTGGGCGTCTTATGTGCGCAAACTAGTAACCTATAACTAGTGCCCGATTCCGAAAATTGGAACCACGTAAAACAATAAAGAAAAAACAAAGTTTATAGTCTGTATAACCTGTGCTGCGATTAACTACCCCCCTTCCAATATCTACAATTATAATTTTTTACTTTAAATCTGGACCATCTTTATTTTGATTAAATATAAGTTGACTTCATTTTATTAGCAGATAAACGCCGTTTTAACGGTCTCTTCTAAAACAAACTTTACTGAAACGACATACATATTCATTTGCTTCGGATTAAGCTCGCGGTTCACGTTTTATAGGTTTTTCGTTTTAATTGCTTTTTTATCTGTCACGGGAATTGTTTGTATAATTTACGTATAACAACCTTTTGAAATTTTTGCGTACGCCAATAAAACCGAGCAGGGGATTAAATTAATTTCAGTTTGGATTGTTTTATATTTTTAATGGCATTTTTAATAAGGAATTTATTAAGAAAAGACTGGAAACATCTTTTTATTAATAAAACCATGTAGCAGAAAAAAAAGTTCGAAACAAGTTGACATTTTTTGGTAATGTTATTAAAGAAAACAACAGTAGATTATAGATTGTAGATGGTATGTATCAAGAACCTAGAATCGGAATTATAGGACAATCAGAACATGGAATTGAATATACAATAACATTCGATCCAGTGGCGAAGCAAGGCGGGGGCGGTGGGGGCGGACCCGCCCCGGGATTCAAAAATCTAAATTTAAGATATCAACCAACCGATACCAGGAATTATTTGTATAAACATGAATGTATTCGAGGGTAGAATCCAAAAATAGAATAATATACAGGCTGTTCTATTTAAAAAAATACAACTATAATATTTTTTACTTATTTGGGACACTCTGTATCTTGTAAAAATATTTTTAAATTGTAGCTTTAATAGTCCTTCAACGAACCCAAAACTTACAATTTGTAAAAATCTAATCGTTTAGCTACAATACTCCGTGTCGTATGTGGTGAACAACCCTGTATACTTGAGTATTACAGATGTTTTCCTTAATATCGTTAGTTCTGATATTGTTATTAATGTTTATTAAAACCAGAGCTGTATCGTTAGTCTTTAACGTTTTTTTTTAAATTTAGTTTAGAGTATCCGACGCAGCGTCATATGACGTTACAATAGCCACCAAAACCATCTCGTCATATTAAAAAATTACATCAAAAGTAATGATAACTGAAAAATTTGCAAATTGATCGTGATCGGTTCATTTCGTTCTTAAAAATTAACCAAAGCATGTATTGACGTGATCCAAATAACAAAATGCCCAGAAGACATGATTCTTACCTTAAAATTATATTTTAAAAAACAAAATATAACACTTTAAATTTGATCAAAAATTTCTCTGATACGTTTTTTTGCATCTGTGTTTGGCTAGCGTCAAAAAATCCTTTTTACTATCGATTGTTGCGCCTCGGTGGTACGAAAGTATTTTGTAAAACACAGTGTGGAATTAAATTTCTATATCAGCAGTTCAAGGCAAGAATCTTGATATCTCTCTATAATTTATAATATTTATAATATTTTATATTTATATTTATTAAACTTTTATAATAGATATAATTTATTATATTTTCTTTTTCGTGAAATTTAATAGTTATTCTGCTATTTCCTAATAAAGTTTCTATCTAAGGGCAGACACGAATCCAACAACATCCTTCTTGAATTATTGAGACTTTGTTTGATTTATTTAGATTACACTTAAATTGCATTTAAATTAACATCACTACCGCCCCAAAAACTAAAATCGATACATAATCTTAACCTAATTTATTCAGCAACAAGAATTTAGAACCCCCTTAAACAGCTCTATTAATCCTTTTCGAACTCGGATGCAACAAAACCGAGACGCTGGCTACACCATCTGCAACCTATTGCCCCGCATAATAAACCTTGGAGCTCCGCTGAATCGGAAACGGCCACACCGACGGACGGGGCCAATTTTCCACTTTAATGCGTTCGGGAGACTTTGATAATCCTTAAACTTGGCCCCAGACACCCATTAACGGGCTGTTAAGGAGAAGGAGCGGGGACATTAGAATTAAATCGATGAACAGGGATAGTTGTCCTATAGGTCGTTAGTCCGTTATGTATTATTTTAGAGGTAGATAGTAGATTGTATTGGAGGAGGGAAAATAATAAGAAATAACCGCAACCTTATAGATCTATGGTATCTCACTTTATTCAATTAAAACTGATCATCAGGGCTTTGACAAAAGCCAGTAACTGAAACGGTTTCTTAGAGGTTTCTCCACCTCCGATGTCACTCGTACCGTTTTATTTATGCACGAATGGTTGAGATCGCGGCTCACAAACAACAAATAAACGCTTTATTGTCAAAAAGCCAAAATAGCTTCATCGACAAAGCATTTACAAAACAAACAAAAGTACAAAAAAATATACAATACAAATCATACAATTCAAAAAAAAATTAAAATTCAAAATTGTTCATGATTAAACATCAACAAAAAAGTCGTTTACCGCATATAGGCTCTCTCCAGTAAGTATGATTTCAGAGCTTTGCGAAATGCGGGAAAGAATGAAAGCGACTTGATATTCAAAGGCAGATGATTGTATATTTTTTTTTGCATTGTACAGTATTGAACCTTTAACTATAATAGTTCTGAGCTCGGGGTTGGCAGATAAAGATCGTGCTCCGCATTCCTAAGTGGATAGTTGTGAGATAGCCTTTCCTGAATAGCAGATATGTGCTTGCGGATTAAGCAAACGGATTCAAAAATGAATGAAGAAGGAAGAGTCAGTATTTTGAAATTTTTAAAGAAATTCTGGCAGTGAGTTCTACTGTTCAGTCCCAATAAATATCGAACTGCTCTATTTTGAAGTCTGAAAATACGATCAAATTTTGTTGCGCAGTCTCTTTGTTGTGTACCCGCCTTAAGACCTATTAAGTTATCAACATATTTTTCCTTTTTTTTCTAGGTATAGCTGTAGCCAGCAGCATATTTACCATCACAGCCATGGCTGTAGACCGATCTACAGCCATCATCAGACCGTTCTTTCGCTGTTTCAACAAGACCACCACCATTCTAGTGATCATGTTCCTATGGACGGCATCCCTGATACTATTTTCGCCGAATTTGTGGATAGCAAGTCTATCGATAATATCAGTACAGTACAGTAGTCATAACAGCACCTCCGAAGTAGCGATGTGCAGAATGGACTGGGCAGATTTTCCAGTACCACGGCACGTGATTGGGATTATATGGTTTACTTTTATGTTTGCTGTTCCGGGTAAGTGATTTTCTGGTTACGGTTAAGATCTAGTATACAGGGTGGCGCCTCTTATACGCCGGGGAGGCTCTAAGGAAAACGGCAGTTTGTATTGAAATGAAATTTTGTGACCATATATCATGGCCATGTTAATTCAGAGCACTGTTTCAAAATATAGAGAGTTCTACAGGGTGTCTCCAAAAAAGTTACATATCAAAGTTGTGTTTTTTGTAATGGAACACCCTATATATTAATTGATTTTCGGATCCTTGGAGAAAAATAAAGGTGAGTTTGAAGTATATGACTAAAATGTAAGGTTTTTGACATATTTGACGTTTTCTAGAAATAAAGAACAATTTTTAAATTACAAAAAAGCTACCTAAATTGAAATTTACCCGGTATAGCCTAATATGTAGTTAAATTAACTATTGTACTTTAAATCAAATTAAAACTTGGTCCAAAAAGTTATACAGGGTGAGACAAAATTAATATTGAACATTGGTCACATTTAAAAGCATGTTACTATTATATTTTAAATGGAACACCCAGTACATTCACCAATTAATAGAATACTTAAATGCTCCTGATTTTATCTAATCAGGTTTTTTTATGGGAATATGTTAAAGACAGTGTTTACAAAACTCGACCAACTATTGTCGACAACATGAGAGAAATTATTGTAGCTGTTTTTTGATGTAGAACTCCACATAATAATATGCTTTTTAGAATGAAAAGATCCTTTTGAAAAGACAATCATTTTATGCAGTTTACAGGAAAGGAAACATTTTGACCATTTGATTTCATCTAGCTAATTTTTGTCATATAATTATAGGTTTATATCTAATTTTAATTCTGTAATAATTAAAATAGGTTTTAAACGTGTATCTTTTTATTACCCTTGAGTATTTTACTCTACAATCTTTAATTTGTGTTAAATTAACAAAAGGTATATCACACAGCCACCTAGATTTTTTCAAATAATAAAAAACCACTAAGGCAAAATCATAAAAATTAAAATATCTAGGGAAATCTTTGTCTGAGGGGTAGGCAACCTTAATAATATTTTGAAGATATGTAAATTCCTCATTGAACACCGAAAAAATATACTGGGTGTTCCATTTAAAATAAAGGAGTAACTTGCTTTTAAAAGTTACTAATGTTCCATATTAATTTTGTCTCACCCTGTATAACTTTTCGGGTCAAACGTCAATTTGGTATAAAATACAATAGTTACTGTAATTAAATATCAGGCTATACAAAGCCAACTAAAATTTAGGTAGCTTTTATCGAAATTTAAAATTTACTCTTTATTTTCACAAAATATGAAATATGTCAAAATCCTTAGATTTTAGGTATATGCTTCTTTAATAAAACTCACCTTTATTTTTTTCCTAGAATCCGAAAATCAATTAATACATAAAGCGTTCCATTAGAAAAAGCACAACTTTGTTATGTAACTTTTTTTGAGGACACCCTGTAGAACTTTCTATATTTTTAAAGTGCTCTGAATTAACCTACATATGCTCACAAAATGTCATTTCAATACAAACTGTCGTTTTCCTGGGAGCCTCAGTGGCGTATGAGAGGCGCCACCCTCTGTACAAGATGATAAAAATAATTAAATCAAAGATTGTTTTTTTTGGGAAGATAGATGGATACGTGGTGCGTCATGTACAGGGTGGCCAACTAAGAATGGACGCTGGCTGTGACTACCTTTCATTTTTCATTTTTTATTCTAAGAAAAATGTTGTAAATTGCAATATTATTTTGGCAGACGTTTGCGAAAAACTGATTTTTCGGCTATTTGGGGCCGTTTTTTTCCCTAAAACTGCTCCCCAAAAGGTACACGATCTGCCCGAAAAATCCCGATCGACGAAGTAGGCCGTGGTTTCAACCTTTATTTACTGGACTAAAATGCGGCTACATTATTAAAACTTGAGATATTGATGTGTGCAGTTCTAGGGTAGGTTTTAACGAAAGGCAATATTTTTCGAATATTCTTCTGCTGAAATAGGCAATATTGCTGAGTAACGCAGCAAAAGCAATAAGTAAAAATTGCCATTTTATGAGCAACTTAATGGACCGTAAAACTATATTGGATATTTTATAAAAGTTAGACGGTATATTAAAGTTTTATTATAAAGGAAAACACATATGGCCGTTCAATTATAACATAAGGTCTTAAAACTTGAATATGATATTCATCATAATGATGGAATGGATTTTTTTAACAAACAATAACAATATGACTCTATGACTTTTCAAAACAAAATGGATCTGAAGAATTACAGACGTATAACATTACCTAGTAGTGCATTAAAATTATTAACAAAAATACTAGCAAATAAAATAACTGCTAAGGTAGGAATCTCCGAAAAGTAACAAGGTTTCCACCTATACAGATCTGATAGAGAAATCCATAGAATCCATACCCACGTACATATACTTCATATCTAGGTGTATTGATGAGGACCACAATCAAAGGCATGCCTTTTATACTAAAATGTGTGTAATTCTATACTGACTACTTCAAAAGCAAATATCTCCAACAAAATCTGATTGCTATTGAGATAAATAAAACACAACTCTCTAGAAAAGATGATAAAGTAGTTTTTAAATTCCTTACTGTGTTAAAATCATTCCACTGGGAGTTTCAAACTTTCGTCAAACATTTTGTTTTCCCTCGTATAACAGAGAGATGAGGACTTCATTTTTTTAATTTGAAAAAAAGTTAAAAAGTCAAATAATTTAGCTCCAAATTGCTTAAAAAATCATCAGAATCAGTCTAAGAATACTGAATTTATACAGGGTTGTTCACCACATACGACACGGAGTATTGTAGCTAAACGATTATATTTTTACAAATTTCAAGTTTTGGGTTCGATGAAGGACTATTAGAGGTACAATTTAAAAATAATTTACAAGATACAGAGTGTCCCAAATAAGTAAAAAATATCAAAGTTGTATTTTTTTAAATGGAACACCCTGTATATTATTACATTTTTGTTTCTACGATTAAAATAAAGGTAAATTTGATTAAGGTTTATTACACTTAAACCTTACCGTTTTTGAAATATTTTCAATTTTGTGAAATTGCAGTAAAAATTTTAAGGCTTCATTTCTCCAAGGGTATCAAAGTTTTTAATACTAAATATTTACTGAAGTTTATTTATTGATCAGTTATTGTGTTGCAATAATAAAAATAATACTACCTTATACAGAGTGTCTAAAAATTTATTTTAAATAATTTATAGCTTTAAACGCCAATAACTTGTTTAATTTAAATGGAACGCTCTGTATATTTTAGGAGAATTAGATGCACAATTTAATTGTCTATCAAATTGTATTATACCATTTTTACCTATCCCTTCAAGTTTTCGTAGAAAATGCATTTTCTTATAATTTAGACCTCATTCATCAATATACCTATGGAATATTGACATTTTATTATTGACACCCATAGAATATTGACATCATATATTGACATTCTAGTAATATTATCGTTTTGCTAAAAACAATAATGTTGTATGCAAAAAGAAAACTATTTAAATCTTTATAAAAGAGTATACCATTAATTAAATATAGCACCATTATTTCCGCCCATATACTAATTAATTACATACTTAATTGTATTCGTTAATAAATTATTCTAAATAAATGTGGATTTTTGAGTCAGAAATCAATATAATAATAAGTTGTCAAAATTAAAGTCTCTGTTGTTATAAATAAGCATTTATTAAAATATGAAATATCATTTTTAAGGTGTTACTTTTTATCACACTGTCTAATACCCATACAAAATTCAGTTTTTTTAGTATTTGGAACAATCATTATTAATCAATGCAGTCAGTTAATGTAGTTTGAATACTGGAATCATATTAATTGGTCCTTTTTAACAAATATTTAAACAGTTTTTTTTATTTTTTAATGAAATAAACGAATTATATCCACAATATTAGTATCTGTACTCTTTCAAAATTTGGTACATCTTTAAAAATAATCTAAAATGTCAATATTCTATGGGTATATTGATAAATAAATTCTAAATTACAAGAAAATGCATTTTCTACGGAAACTTAAAGAGATAGGTAAAAAATGGTATAATATAATTTGATAGACAATTAAATTGTGCATCTGATTCTCGTAAAATATACAGGGTGTCCCATTTAAATTAAACAAGTTATTGCCGTTTGAAGCTAATAATTATTTAAAATAAATTTTTAGACACTCTGTATAAGGTAGTATTATTTTTATTATTGCAACACAATAACTGATCAATAAATAAACTTCAGTAAATATTTAGTATTAAAAACTTTGGTACCCTTGGAGAAATGAAGCCTTAAAATTTTTACTGCAATTTCACAAAATTGAAAATATTTCAAAAACGGTAAGGTTTAAGTATAATAAACCTTAATCAAATTTACCTTTATTTTAATCGTAGAAACTAACAATACAATAATATACAGGGTGTTCCCTTTAAAAAAATACAACTTTGATATTTTTTACTTATTTGGGACACTCTGTATCTTGTAAAATTATTTTTAAATTGTACCTCTAATAGTCCTTCATCGAACCCAAGATTTACAATTTGTAAAAATCTAATCGTTTAGCTACAATACTCCGTGTCGTATGTGGTGAACAGCCCTGTATATAAATACATGGACATTTTAAGGCCTCCATGTTTATTGTAAATGTATCATGAATATTATTTCATGTAAAACAAAATGCGTATCGTCGATTCAAAAATTATGTTATTTTACCTAACCAATGTACAAGAACGGGAGGTGTCTCTGTTGAGATTTTTTTCAAACAAAATATATATAGCCTTGGAACTTTGTGCTTTATATAGGGTGAGTCTTCAATAAGTGCACATATTTTCAGGGCTATTAGATCTCGATAAAAGAAACATATTTTCTCTTTACCGCTTAAATTTTGAGAACCACTGGATCTTTTCTGGGTTTTCTTTGTTGGAAATTTAACCTATGTTGCCATATTATCAAGAAATTATGGTTTTTAACTAA